GTTGTTTGGCGGGTCCGGGCTGGGGATTCGAACCCACCACCTTAGGTGTACATGGCTGGCGCCTTAGCCGGTTGAGCTATAGGCGCCGAGCCTACCACCTGGCTCTTAAAAATAAGTTTGCCAAGCTCTAGATTCAAGGGAATCTATGCTTTCTATAAATGATGCCAAAATACCTGAATGTTTCCAATTAGAAGCCAGTTCTTTATTTCACAATTTAAGCCTTTGTTCATGCTTCTCTCTGGTAATGAATTTCTTTATTTTCCTTTATTTTCATTGACAGTGGTTTTTTATAAGAATTAGATTACCCAAAGGAGTAGACCTCATATTCTTACCACCCTTCTATCCTCTTGCAAATTATTGATAACCTAAAGACCTCCTGTGTATATGGACTTTATCTATTGATACCATGGTAGAAAGTAAAACAGGAAAAAAATGCTTATTTGTTCATTTATTTTAAAATAACATTTCTAAATGAAATAAAACCTATATCTTCAAAGTCATGGTGAGAAGACTGGCACTGTTTTATGTGTTTGCAAATCTCTTTCAGGCTGGCTGGTTAGAAGACAGGTAGTTTCTCATATCTGCTTCTGCATTCAATCTGTTGCAAAATGTTGTTTCAACTAAAGTATGTGGAGACTTGGACACATTGTTGAAAGAGGGCTATTTTAAGAGCCTTTTCAGAAAATTGTGAATCTTCTTCTTTGATACTTCATCAAAACTGGCTAAGTACTAGCTTGTTAAAGATTGATTTCAGTGTGGAATCTGAAACATCTCAATGAACATTTTGAGCTCTATACATTAAAATCCATTGGTGTATTTTGCTCTTAAAATGGATTTTTCGCCCAATCATGATCACTGGGAAATTATCACGTCATTAAGTTAGGGAGCTTTTCCAAATACAGACCTATTTCATTATAAATGATCGCTATAAATGATCAAAACACCACATTGGTTAATATCAACATGGATCTCATCAGTTTTTAAGCCTGGTAAACTTCCAAGAATGCGATTGGAATGTTTAAATTTTATCACTGGCAACAGATACTGTCGTTATTTTCCTAAAAGTGACAGGTTCACTTCATTCCTTTTTGAGAAAATATCTGTCAAATATCTAACGCTTAATAATTAAAGTATGCCCGTCACTTTCTTTTTCAAGTAAAAGTTGCATTTCATGACAAAAGTGGCTAGTTCAGCTCACAACGGAATTGCACAAATGATTTTCCACTGTACACTCAGTCTGTGGAAGTTCTTCTGTCCTGTTTCTCAATCTGCCATACCAAATCTGAAAAACACTCAGGGGTTGAAGATTTGGGTGCTGATTCTTTGATCTGTGTTACTAAGCAAGCACTTTTATACATTATTGTTTCTGCATTGTCAGTGCAAATGGCACCAGTTAAAAAGAAAAAGACCTCTGGGTATTTCAAAAATAGTTTATAGCTTGTGAATACTCAGAAGGGTCTTGGCAACCCTAAGGGTAGGTGGACTGCACTTTCCACTCAGGGAAACCCTCTGACAAGCCAGAACGTGAGAGATGATACCAGGAAGTGAGAGAGGACGGCAGACAGTGATGTGGCAGCAGGTGGTCAGAGGGGGATCGGTCTCAAGGCTGGGGAGGAAGCGAGATGGCAGAACTCCTCAATCAGAGTCCCCTCCCACGGAACCATACTGTCCCCTCAGACACAGCCACCGAGAAAGATAGGTGAGCTAGCAAAAGCTCCCAAGAAGGTAGATAACTTTCTATTCGTTGAGTAGTAATTCCAAATTTATCTTTGAAATTGTCCCAGCATTTAAATGTCCATTATCCTAGATGGAGCTGTGTTCTAAGTCTTCCAAGGGCTTCATGGGGGCAGAAAGGCAATGTAGCCTAACTCTTTTGGAAGCGTTATTACTCTGGAGAATTAAAAAGCCACCGGTGGGGGAGGAGCCAGGAGCCCTAAGCCTGGGGAAAGCCCTCAGTGAGAGTCATCAGGTCTGGATGGGAGGCCAGAACACGGTGAGAGTGTCTATTACACAGGCATGTCTTGTAACGTCTGCCTGGCCATGCATCACCTTGATAATGAGACTTAAGAATACAAGAACGGATCAGACAGCAAGCACAAGGGGAAGAAAGTCAAGCTTCATTTCTGGAGAAGGCATTCCGAGGCCAGAGCCATGTTGTGTTGACCTTGGAAAGAGAGCCAGACAAGCACATCTGCTGAAGGAAAATTAAAACCTGTCAAGGAGCTGCTCTCGTCACCCAGGGAATGGCCTGCCAGGGACCAGGACAAAGCAATACTCTGTCTCTCCCAACTCCTACCACCCTGGGGCCCTTTATAGCCTGCAGCCCTCACCTCCTGACTGAATTCTCTTGTCCTCAAACTCCAGCTCTGAAGCAACCTCTCTAAAGTGAAAATCTACAACACCTTTGCATCATGGGCACAGGGGTCAGAAATCCAGACTGAGGTTTGAATCAGGCTTCATGTGAAATGGTAATAACCATGTCTATCACTTACAGTTATAAGCCTCATAACAGTTAGCTTGTGAAAAGCATTTTGAACAGGACATTGCTGGTAATAAGCACCAGGTAAGGGTACCCATTATTATGATGTCCTGTTCAAAATGCTTTTCACAAGCTAATTGTTGTAACTGTGAGTTGATCTGGTATCCCAGCTAGGTCTCTGTCTCCTCTCCCCACCAGCCCCTGCCTCCCTCTGGCACTCACCACCTGCAAACAGTGCTGTCTCTCACCTCCTAGTGACGCCTTCAGTCTGGACTCACCCTTCCACAGCCATGTTTTCTAACCACCTCTCTCTACTCAGCCACCAGCCTCAGGGTGTTAGGATTCCTCAGTCACTTCTGCCCTGTCCACCTGCAAATCTTTCTATCTTTCTCTATCCGCACAACACTGGAGTTGTTTGTTCATGGTCCATCTTCCCCACTGCACCCTGCAGGTATTGAGGGGTGGGTCTGTAACTTATTCATCTTTGTGTTTAGCACAGAATCTGGCAGAGAGCTGGTGATCAATAAATAATGCTTGTTGAATGACTCTATAAACTACTTTCTTGCTTTTTTAAGGAAAGGTGACAGGACATGGCAAACCATAAAACATGGCTCGCTCCAGTAAGCACTATGTGTCCCGCTCCCCCATTCACCCCATTCCCTTCCCTTCCATTTCCCACTCACTTGCCAGAATTTGAGTTTCAAGCACAAAGATCTTGGTTTCCCACATCACAGACGTTACTGGTAGCTCAGAGTAGACCTTTCTCCTCTGCGTTTCCACAGAAGTGATCTCACTAGCAAATTATTATTGCTCATGTGGATGGGCAGAAACAGACCATCTCATGGCTCTAGGAACCATGTTTTCAAAACAGTTCAGTCTGCTTTCTCAATAGCATATTCAAAGTGCAGGTGTTTACAACTGCTAGCCTTTTCTAACCCAAAACAATTATGACTCAGTCTAACAGAAGCCTGGGGAAACAGTACTGCGCTGCCAGAGGAAGAAACACCAGGGGGCGCTAAAGGGCAGTCAGTACTGAGGGCCAGTTGCTGAGTACTGAGGGACAAGAGCCTAGGAGGGAGACCATGCACAGCTTGAGGTGGGGCTGATAAGCACGGATGATTGCAGGTAATTCCTATTTCTGCCCTCAATTTGTCCTAAGAGCCTGACCTTGGGAAGTCTTTCATTTTCACTTAGTCAATTCGCAAATAGGTATTTCGAGGCCAACAAGAATTTAGCTGCAGCATGCCCTAATATTCATAGTTGCCTGAAGGAATCTGATACATTAATTTGTTTTTATTCTGAAAGCTGTTAATAAATATATGGGTTTGCATAGGTATGTTCAGGTGAGTAGGAAGGAGACAGAGTAGCACATACAGGCATCCTCAAACTATGGCCCGTAGGCCACATGCAGCCCGCCTAGGACATTTATCCGGCCCGCCGGGTGTTTCTGCCGCCACTGCCTGTCCTGCTTAGCAGCCAATTTGTCCCAGGGGACCACAGTCTAGCCCTCCAATGGTCTGAGGGACAGTGAACTGACCCCCTGTTTAAAAAGTTTGAGGACCCCTGAATAGCATATGGAGTGCCAACACTGTGAGAGGCCAGCTAATAAAAACCAAAGACTTTTTGCTTTTACAAATAGAGCTATGCTTTGATTTTGTGTTCTTAAAATCTTAGGTACAAAATCTGATTTAAGGGATCCTAGACAAAACAATAAAGAGAATTTCTTAAAAATTTCCAGACATGTTCCTCCATTGTGATTCCATGTTCTAATCATGAAGCCTCATAAAAGAGCAACAATAAAAATTAAGCTTGGACACTAGACACTACCAAATATATAACTGGCATCTCATGTTGCCCAGAAACCTGGACTTCCCAGTGATTTTCATATTCTTTTCCAAATTCTGAACTTATAAAACTCTGGTCGGGGATAATTATGTAGACTAGAGAGCAAGGGAATTCTCCCCAACGTGCAAGAGCAATCCACACACACACCTCTGAGGCAGAGGTGTTTAAAACAAAACAACATCAGGAACAAGTTACTGCCTACTTCACGCACAATACTTAAATTCCTCCTCTACATTATTAATATTGGTCCTTAGAAGTGAGAAGGAACCGTGGTGTTATTTCACCCCAGGGACCTCTAAACCACTGCTCTTTCTTAATAAACTGCAGGCTGCTCTGCTCTGGCTTTGGCTACAAGCTTCTGTGACACATGGACTGTTATCATGAGCCTGCTATAATGTCAGCACGGGGACACAGGGACCCCTGGCCTCAAGTCCAGACTTACTGACTTTTTTTTTTTTTTAATTTCTAAAATATGTCCTACTTGGCTTCACTCCTAAGGACATCTGAGCTGAGGTCTGGCTTTCTGAGACTCCCTACTGTGGCTCCACCCTCTTCCAAGACAGCTTTGAGATATGAGACGCTCTTCAAGGACATAGAACAACTATGCCTCTGCTCAAAACCAAGGCAAGAAGCAAGGTTTATTCCTTTGTAAAGAAGGAGCAACGCCCCTGGAGGGTCACTCACAGACTGCTCATGGCTAATACCATCTACTGTAAGAATTAGCCAGGGTTGTTTTACATCTAGACTTGAGGGTGAGGCATATCAGATTCACATTTGCTTTAAGGAGGCATGTAGTAGGGACTAAACACAGTCTGTCATTGCAAGAATGAGCCTAAAGGAACAAGATGCTTGCCCACTGGTATAGCAGTGGAATCTGCCTGGGCAGGAGGTCCCAGTAGCAATGGGATCCAGAATTCCTGCAGGAGAGAACAGGAACAAGGAGACCTGGTGAATCTGGTGATGGGGGGAGAGAAGCTGGGAAGGCAAGGACATGAATGTGTCCAGCAGAGCATGCGTGGACAGTCAAAGCTGGCCGCTCCAGGGCACAGTCTATGCTCTGGGGGAGGGGTACGTACTTGAATATACCCTTCCCCCTACAACAAAAAGATATTAGAACTGACATTTTATTTAAAAACTGAGAAGAAACTGCCTTGGTTACTTTTATGTCCCAAATTAACTAGGCTATGTGGTACCCAGTTATTTAGTGGAACACCAATCTAGATGCTGCTGTGAAGATGTTCGATGAGATTAACATTTAAGTCACCAGAGTTTTGAGTACAGCAAATGACCCTCCATGATATAGGTGGGCCTCATCCAACTGGGCAAAAGTCTTAAGAGCAAAGACTGAAGTTTTCTAAGGAAGAAAGAATTCTGCCTTAAGACTGCAATCCAGAAACCCTGGCCTGTGCTTCCCACCTGTTGGCCTGGGCTAAGATTCCAGCCTTGACAGCCCCCACAAACAAAGGAGCCAAGTCCTTAAAATAAATCTTTCTTTCTGTCTCTGTATCCCACTGGTCCCATTTTCTGGAGACCACTGGCTGATACAGGAGCTGTGAAATAAATGTGCGCCAGGGTTCTTCATGGAGATATGCATAGAGAATCTGGCAGGGAAGACGGAAGCCCAGGTGTATATGTTATTTACCATCTTGGAGAAGGAGCCTGGCTAGTAGCACTGGCCATGGGGAGGCCAGATCTCATTCTCCAGTGAGAAGGGAGTTCTCTGCAGCAGGTGGTCCCTACTCAGAGCCTACACAGGACGCCTTTCAGGCCCTGAACAAACCCCAATAATCTTCACTTAGCCTTTGAAGTTGGCACCTGCCTTCCTGCCTCCTTCTCTACTCCCACACTCCCACTACGTGGTGGATTCTCCAGGCTCTCCGAGGCCAGGCTGTGAGAGCCTATTGGTTTCTGTGGGAGATGAAGTGTGAGACTGGAGCAGGGAGAAAGGCTGTGGGGGCCGGGGCATGTTCCCCTTTCCCTCCTCACTGACACCTGCACAGCGGAAGACACCCTTCCTGCTCTCCACTGATCTCTTAAGACCTTACTCGAAGATTCGAGGAACATCTCTGCTGGGATCCCAGACTGCCTCACTCTGTCCCGGCAAGGAAAAATCATCATCCACGAGGACCAGAGTTTGTCCGAACAGTGACATCCAGAGGCGCGCGCAGGAAAAGCCAGCCCCCCAGTGCTCTGCGTCCCCACCATGAGACCCACCTATTTCCTCGCCCAAGGAGGAGTTGAGGATTGCTCCCGCAGACATGACCACGGCGCAGCTGCGCAGGCCATGGGGGTGCAGCTGGCTCAGGGGCACTGCGGGCACCAGCCGGCGCCAGCCGAGCGCGGAGAAGGGCGGCTCGGTGCCGTCCAGGGTGCGCGGGCGCGCGCGGCTCCGCAGCCTGCACAGCAGCTCGGCCTGGCTCCGCGCCGCCTCCCGCTTCCCGCGGAAGCGCACCCCGTGTTTGTTGGCGGCCAGGTAATCCCTCATGGCCTTCTGCAGGCGCGGGTTCAGCATCTTGGAGGAGACGTTTCCCTTCCAGAGCCGGTACAGAAAGTCCCGGGACATGGAGGAGTACAGCCTGTCCCCGTCGTCGTCGCCCTCCTCCAGCACGTGGCTCCTCCTCTGTCTCCGGTGCCGCCTCTTCACCCGCCTTCTCTGGACCTGTCCGGCCGGCAGAGCCCCTTCCCTCTGGCCTGGCTCCCCGGGGGAAGGGAATCCCAGCGTCCCCTGAGTGTGGCTGTGCCACTTTGGCTGACCAGCAGCAAAAAAGTACTCGTCGTCCTCCGGGTAGAAAGCACTTTGAGATTTTCTCCCAACCTGGGAGGAAAAAAAGTCTTCGTTTTCAAAGCCATCTTGCGTCAGGGCCCATCTATGAGGGTCGCCAGGTGCAGCGGGCAGCGCCTTGGCTGCGTCCCATTCCGCGGGCGAGGCGGACTCGTGCAAAGCGCCCATGATGGCTCGCTGCTTCCCCTGCACCGGCAGGAGCCTCCTGGTCTCCAGGAAGGAGAAGGAGCTGGGCACAGGCTCAGCAGGGTTGCTGTCCGTGAAGTAGATGAAAATCACCAAAAAGAGGAGCCCCCAAGCGAATATCCCAAACAGCATTCGTTGTCTCCATTGCTTCAAGTGTGGTTTCATGGCAAGTCTCTGGAGTCAGCACCTTGTGACCTAAAGCAGGGGGGAGATTGAATGAACCTGAAAAACAGCCAGATGGTAGAGTTAGTCAGCGTGGGACATTTGCTCAGACACTGCTGGGAACATTTCTATCTTCAACAGCGTTTCCTGGGCAGCATTAGAAGGAACATCAGAAACCATAATCATCTTAGAGCGTATACTAAACCCAGGTGTTGTATTTACCTCTCTCTCGCCTCCACCCACCTCTGCAAGACAGGGGGGGTCTCACCATCTCAGCTAAATGTGTAAGGAGAGAGGAGGTGGGGTGAGTATATTTTTGTTAAAACCTCTCCAGGGGGAATCAGGATGCATCTGCCTCCCCACCTTGAAAGACACTTAGCAAGGCCCTTGCCACCAGCGAGCTCCCTCCCTCTGGATCCAAGTTTACAGAATTCCAATTTGGTAACACAAAGCAGGAGAGTTAAGCAGAGTTTGTTCTCTCTTATCTGCTTATCAGTCAGCAGAGGCTCAGAGCTCACAGATTTCACAGCCACACCGCCTGTGTGTTTCTAAGACCCGACAACCATATCTTCTTCTCCATTGTCTCCCTGGCATGGCGGACTGCCTGGGACCTGCCAGAAGTCCTCTGATGGCACTGAATGAAGCATTGCTTCGGTGATTGTGCATGCCAGGTGCCTGTTGATTTCAACAATGCCTCCAGGAATGCCCTCCTCCTTCACCCTTGCCCTGAGCCACTAGTGAGTAAGAGGGAAGTGTGGGCAAACTTTACACAGGGCAGGAGAGGGGAGGGCTTGTGGATCCTAAATGAGCCTTCAGCGTAGAGAGGGTGATGAAGGAGGAGAGATGAAAAGCATCAGATACAGCAAAAGAGACAGTGAACTAATGTTATGCTATGTGGGTAGAACTGTGCTTAATAGAAATAATAAAATATTAAGAAGAAATGCTCCTAATCTTCAGGAACTAAGGCAAAACCCCAGGAAGGGAAAAAGGTAAGGTATGTTTATGGAATAAGAATTAAGCTTGCTAGAGCTTCAAGCTGAGCTCAAAGCCAAGCACAGGCAGATATTCAATAAATACTGGTTGAATGCATGTGTATGTTTTGGAGAGGGAGTTACTGTGTCTAGAGGTATGCATGAGTATGTGGTTTTGGGTGGTTGTGTTGGAAGGACTGCTTGGGGAAGAAATAACTGGAAAGCTATGTCGTTCCAGCCGTGAGGGCCTTGGGTACCTGCTGGAAGAGCTGGGCCACATGCTGTGTAAGAAATACGGAGTGAGTGACATTCTTAGAGCAAGAGAGTGACATGGTGGTTCCATGGGCCTTCAGGAGATTACTTTGTGGCAGGTAAGGCAGGAGGGCATGCAGGGAGGCAGCATGGGGCATGAGGTCATTAGTAGAAATCAGTCACCAGAAAGTAGAGAGACTCTGACAGGAGGTGCTGCTCAGGGAATCTATGACCCTCACTCTCCATCTCCAGCCTGAGCCCCAGCAGGCTACTCCACTGTTGCTAAAACACAAAGGCAGGCAAGGTGTGGCCATAAGGTGACGGCTGGTACTTTTACTCAAACAGATAGGAACTCAAATACCTGTGTTAAATAAAAATGAGTGTTCCTACGGTCACTTGGGAATTGATCAACTTGGGAAGCCATACAGTGTCTTCGGCGGGAAAACGTGTGCCAAGTTAAGAAAATCACATTTCTTCTGTGGCTGCATAGTAGATTAAAGGTGGACACAGATTCTTTGCGCCTTCACTCAGGGTGAGGTAAGATCTGCATCTCCCTGCATTAAATAAAAGTGACGATCTTATCTGTGGCTGCCTAGACCGGTAGGATATGGTGGTGGTGATACCATGCCAGTTACTGGGCCTACATCTAGTAGCTTTCACTTCTTGCCTCTCACAACGCTCACTCCAGGAGAAGTTAGGAAGGAAGACGTTTCCCTAAGCTTAGCCTACCATGCAGGGAAAAAGCAAGCTAGTCATGTGGAAAGGTCACATGAATGAGAGACGCCCAGGCAGCTCCAAGCTTTGGTAGCAGAGGTACCAAATGTGAGGAGAAAGAAGCCTTACTGGGTGCTCAGCCCTGTTCAGCTTTCAGAGGACCCCATCCCCAGCCAACAATGGACTGCAACCCCAAGGAAGGCCTAAAGGACAACCAGCCAAGTCCATCAACTCATGAACTGCCAGCGATAATGATCCGTTGTTATTCTAAACACCAGGCTTTAAGGTGATTTGTTACATCAGAAGATCACTGGAACTGGCTGTAATTGAAAAGCCAAATAAGAAGTTCCAAAAATGCTTCAACAATGGCAGCATCCCAGCAGGATTCCACAAAAAGCAACCCTTGCTTACATGCATAAATTGTGGCTTTTTAAAAAAGCAGTTGCTTTATTTTGTATTCACAAAAAAGGCAAGGATACGGATTTCATAATCATAAATCAAACATACATATACAGAATGTACTTTAACCAAGCTGGAATCATTGATGCCAAGAAGTGAGCACAGAAGAAATGATATCAGCAGTTAACTAGCTGTATGCCAGACTATATTTAGCACTTGTCCTGGATTATTTCACATGGTCTTCCCAGCATCTTAGATAGGAAATACCACTATATCCATTTTCTGGATGAGGAAACTGAGGCCCAGAGAGATTAAATAACTTCCCCCAAAGCACACAGATAGCAAGCAGCAGATATTCCATACAAAGCCATCTGTGTGATTCTAGGACTCACACTTCTAACACAGGTTCTGATTCCCTCTGATCACACCAACTGAGGCTGTATTTTCCAAATTAGGGTCCTCAAACTATGTGGGGTGAATGATCATCTTTTATCTAAGTTATCACTGTCTGATATTTTGTATTTGAGCTTGAGTATCTTAGCATTGTCCAACTGCTAGATAAGTTTCTAAATTCTTGCTCTCAAGTTATATACACACTTTCCTGGAACTTGGTAATGAAGAGTTAGTGGATGTGCAATCCAGACCCACACTTTAAGTAGTATTGATATAGGACAGGTGGCACCGCAGCCAGCTCAGGGGGGCTGAGGGGCAGACCTGCCGCCTCCAGCCTCAAGGCAGTGTTGGTACAGTGGGAAGGGGCAGAGGAACCAGCGGGCTGGATGGACGGTAGGCATGGGGACCCCACAGGAGGCTCCAGTAGCAGGAGGGGCCAGAAAACTGCTGGAGAGACACCAGCACCTTAGGTTTCCCTCCCCTTGCACTTGCAGCTGAACAGGAACCCCCCTCACCCCATTTCCTAGGCCTGGTCAATTTCATGTAAGTTTCCCAGGCCTGGGAATGCAAGTAATTGTAGCCATCCATTTGCTACCCAGTCCCACTAAATGAAGGTGACCAGACATCTCACTTTTGGCAGACAGTCCTGATTTTTAACAATTTGTCCCATGTCTCAAGGCGTTTTTAAAAAGTCCTGATTTTTGGAAAGAATGCACGACAAGCTAGGGAAGGGCAGGAGAATGGGAAGGGCATATATGGTTTTCAGCTGCTGAAAAGGTTAATGTAACTCCATTTGGGAATGAAGAGGTTAGTGTAACTTCATTTGGAAATGAAAAGGCTAATGTAAACTCCCTACTCCCCTCCTGGGCAAGGTCGCCCAGGTGGAATCAGTATCAGAAGGATACTGGCTCCTTCTCTAGCTTCTAGTCAAGGACAATTAGCTCAGAAGGAGCCAAACTGTCTGGAACAAATGAGTAGCCCCCTCCCCAGAGGGTCCCTAACTGTAAACAGCTCAGCCAATAGCCAGCACCACCACCCCCACCACCCTCACCCCCGTCAATGCAATGGTGTCCCGCTTTACCAATGTTAAAATCTGGTCACTTTACACTAAATGTAACTACAGAGAACCCAGGTGGGCTAAATGTAACTACCGACTCCCTTAAATGTAACTACAGAGGACCCCATGAGACTTTATATTCTCCCGGACAAAGAGCCTGGAGAGAGAGAGAGGGAGCCAGAGAGCTCTTTCTCTGACCTGGGTTCTCTCTTCTAGGAGCTTTGGTGTTTTTTATTCTTTTCTATAGATAAATCCTATCTTACCACTGATCTATGGTCTGTGGATTCATTCTTTGAATCACTGAGACCAAGAACACACGGAAGACAAAACTGTGGTGTAACTAACCTGTCCACGCAGGGGACAGAGCTTCAGGCACTAATGAATGCCCAATCTGAAGGTCTAGAAGCAGTTTCTAACAGGAATCTTGGGAAAACTACCCTTAATCACAGTTATTTTGTTTCTATCCAACAGGGTACTATATAATTCTGATACTCACCACCAAGAGTTAGCACAGACCTCCTGAGTTAAGGGCTCAATCACCAGCTGTGTGTGGGGTTCCCAGGCTACTCACACTAACAACTGTCCAGCTATCAATGCCCAGATTCCTATGTCTTCCTTCAGGGTTGATAATTTGCCAGAGTGACCGATGGAAGTTATTACGTTTATAGTTCTATTATAAAGGATATGGGAATGCAGTTTCTACACACTCTCCCTTGAAATCTGGCTGTGTCATCCTCCCTACACATCATTATATTCACTAACCAGAAAGCTCCACTGGGCCCTGGAGTCCAGAGTTTTCATCAGGGTTCCATTAGGTAGGCATGATTGGGGATACCACCGGCCATGTTTGAACTCAACCTACAATCCTCTTCTAGGAGGTTGGATTGGCAAAAAGTTCCAAGCCCATAATTTCACCTGGTTGGTCTTTCTGGTGACCAAGCCCAACCAGAAGCTATATTAGCTTAACAAAGACAGTCCTATCGCTCAGGAAATTCCAAGGGTTTTAGGAGCTGCTTGCCAGGAACCTGGTATAAAGCCCAGACAAATTCTTTATCATAGGACATGAAGGCTGCAATAGCTAATTTAAAAGGCAGTCTTTCTGCTTCTGGATGGAAATTTATCATTACTTGCTTTCCCTACACTGAGCATCAGCTCAGTGGGTAACTAAAGAATGGAAAACAGAGGTTTCTTATTTCAGGATTTGCTCAAGAGAGAAATTTTAAAACAGACACAAAGGCAAGGTGAAGGAAGTTAAGAAATAGGAAGTAAAAAAAAAAATGAAAACAAGATTTGAGCTGCAGAATCTTCCAGCCTCAGGGCTCAGGGCTGAGGCCACTGTGTCCACGCCAGATGAACTAATGTTGCCTTAGTTTGGCAGAGTCGAGAAGCTGCAG